AACCCACAGTTTGCTGTGCAAAATCATTTTACTCCAGGTAAACATTTTAAAGGCACTGAAGCACTGTGACTACATAAGTGACTGGGGCAGACATCCCCTCTATCATCCGGGGCCTTTATCCCCAGGCACCCAGCGGACAAATGAACAATCCCACACTTCCTTTATATGTAAGAGAATCACCCCCATGTGGCACAGGAGGTGCTAACTGGGCAGAGTTCAGAAATTGCACGTCCTTTTCTGGAGCCATATCAAGCGACAGGTGCCTTCTCAGCTCTACTACCAAGTCCCCAGGCTTCTAATAACAGGATCTTGTGTTTACAGGGGAAGAATCAAGCTATTTTGAAGATACGACCTACAGCTTGGCACCAGGAAGAGAAAGAAGTGTATTTCTAGGAGACCATGAGCGGTTCAGACAGAGGTCCTGAGGCCTCTGACTCCCTCCTTCAAAAAATACTTTTAGGGACTGGAGAGGTGGCTCAGAGGTTTAGAGTAATGACTGTTCTTCCAAAGGTCCTGAGTTCAATCCCCAGCAACTACATGGTGACTCACAACCATCTATAATAAGATCTGGTGTCCTCTGGCATACAGGCAGGAGACTATATAAATAATAAACAAAAGTACATTTAGATTTATTTATTTTTATGTGTGTGACTGTTTTGCCTGAATGTATGTGCACTCTATGCACACCTGGTACCCCCAGATCTGAAGGGGAGGAGGGCATTCCCATGGGTCCATAGTGATGGGTGGCCTTGATCCCCATGCAGGTGCTGGGAGCGAACCTGGGTCCTCTGCAAGAACAATAAGTGGTCTCAACATCGGCGCCATCTCCTTAGCTCCAAATAACTTTTGAGACAGGTTCTCAGTATGTAGCCCTGGCTTGCCTGGAACTTATTATGTAGACCAGCTTGGCCTCAAGCTCACAGAGCTGTCTTTGCCTGCTTCCCAAGTGCTGAGATTAAAGCAAGGTCCTCCACACCCCGCTTCCCCATCCTTCTGATGTTCAGCATTACTAGAGTAGTCTAGAAGGAAGAAGATAACCACGACCCAGCAGAGAGAACACTTTCTTTCCCTCTAGGTCCATGCTGCCAAGCAAAGGGAGCCTGGGACACTGTCCAAGGTGGATAGCTGCTCTAGCTGAACCCAATCCCTTAAGGCACAAAGCCTCAGCGTGTGGCACACGTGGCCATCCAGTGCTGTCTCTCTGCTGCAAGCACAGAGTGATCGCTGAGCCCCAACCACTCAGTAAGACAGGTGGCCTGCTCCACAGCCTTAGGCTCCCTCTTCAGTTGGCACTGGAAGAATGGGGGTGAAACTACCTCTGTGAGTCTTCAGTGCAAGCTGGAGCAGCATGCTGAAGAGGAGACTCCTGGCAGTGAGAACTGCCAAGCACCTGAGTGACTAATTAGAGCGCTAAGAGCAATTGAAGCAAATCTCTGGTACCCTGAGTCAGGATACTCTGAATGTTGGAGTTTGAGAGGAAGGGAGGGAGCAGGCACAGTACAAATTTAAATAATGTATATAATTTGCATCAGGAATGAAGGACATGCTTCCTTTAGGACAAACTAGGTACTTCCAGCTTTCCACACAGTAAGGAAAGCAACCATAGGGAAGCTGGCACGTGAGCCGTGGTGCTCCAGGGAGGCTGTGGTGCTCCAGGGGAGGAACACAAAGCTTTCAGATTTCATCACAGCCATCTAATAACATCTCGGAGAATACTTTGCTGCAGAGAAGCTTAGAGGCCAGAACAGTCAAGCTCACTCCTTCCCCAACCACCCCAAGAGGGAAGGAGCCTGTCAGCTTCAGTAAAGAAGAAAGGAGGGAAAGGAAAACAAAAGCAGAGGCAAACCTCAAGTTGCTCCATATCTGTTTGAAGGCACAAGGCAGAAGAGAGTCGGTTTTATGCAGAGGCACCATGGGAGCCTCAGGATGGAAACCTGAAGGCTGCAGTAGGAAAACATTACTTGCAGGGTGGTTTTAATCAGCTTGAGCAGCTCTTTGATAGGCAAGGATGGTAAGCCAGGAAGGGCTCTCTGCAAAGTCTGAACCCGCAGAGGGGTTGGCATTTAACATGTGGCGTCTCCTCCTGCTACCCACAGCAGAGCCAGAGTTGGGGCTGGAGGGGGTAATTAACTCTAGCAGATAGCCCACAGAACCCAGGCTCCAGCCACTACCAGCTGCTGCCCTGGGTAGGTATATGAAGAGTTCCTCAAGACTGACTGAGACAAGATTAATACAACCTTCGGAAAGAAAACACCACTGGCCAACTTAGTGGCTCCAATTACACTGACTGAATCAGACAGGGAGGGGATAATCACAAGTATTAAGTCCAGGCTCTGGAGAGAAATTATGGGCTAACGAACCTAACGAGGGGTAACCAGGGAAGCCCCTGATTCGCATTCTCAGGAAAGGCTCAAAACAGGGTATCAAATATCAACCACACTGAGATGAGATACAGTTCTCCTGCAGGGCTCTCTGAGAACTGGAGCTCTGCCTCTCATGACCTCTGAATCCCAGGCAGAGCAGCAATGCCTGGGTGTGAACACCACTGCAGACCTTACCAGGCTCACAGGGTTCCCACCCATTGTGTGACCTCCTTCCCTCCCACTCTGGCCTTGGCAGATGGGACGCTCAGTGTGAGACAAGGACTGTCCTAGTCTTGATCCATTTACATTTCTGCCCATCAGCTCACTCTATTCCTGGCCATGGCGAGTCTCTCAGTATCTTGAACTTGTTCCTGTGTGGGGCTGAGTCTGAGCCTCCAGATTGCAGTCAGAGCACTGTATTACCTACAGGTTCCTCCTGCCACTTCCCCACAGGCTTCCAAGTCTCCAATTCCCAGTGTTCCTTCCTAGCTGAGCAGGAGTCCATCGTGATGTAACAAACCACAAATTCCTAGAGTCTGTCTTTAGTAGCACAGGGCTGTCTGTGTGTGTGACAGGTGTGAACGAAGTCATCCCTCACGGTAGGCTTCCGGCACATATGAAATGTGTCACGGACTTCCCCCGGAAGTAGCGTGCAATATAAATCTTTGAAAAGAGAGGATTCGAGCCCTTGGCTGACCCCTCCTCCACTTCTGCCCTTTTCAGCCCCCCTTCCTCATCAAAGCCCAGGTCTCCTTCCTCACAGTAGGAAGGATGACGTCTTAGGAAGGAAGTGTGTGGCTTTAAGCCACAGAAGACACTAGAAATCAAGTCCTGCTCACACAGAAGGGAATCCCTTCTGCTCAAAGGGAAAGGCTTCTTCAGAACTCTTGACCCTTCCCATCTTCATGCAAGGCCAGGCCTCCATCACTGCTCCCCACCATGTCCTCAGCTTCTTTACTTCCCGGGTTCCTGGCTGCACTCTACCCCACCCTTGGCGCTCAACCCCTCACTCGGGAAGCTCCACCCCATCCTTGGGGTGCTTTGCTGCACCCACATCTCCCTAGATGAGCCTGCTGGACCCTGGCTGGGAAGGAGACTGACTCCTCTCCACACAAGCTGCTGCTACAAGGCTGTATCTGAGTCACTCAGGAACAAGCAATCACTTCCTTCAACCAAGCAAACGAACAGCAGCATGCAAGGACATTGCCATCATCCTCGGAAATCTTTAACAAGAGGCTTGCCTTGTGCACAAGAAGACCTGAGTGTGAGTTACCAGAGATGGGCGTGGTGATGTGCACTGTAATGCCAGAACTGGGGAGGCACAAACCCAGGACCTCGGTGGCTGGCCAACCCCACTGAGTCTGTGAGTTTCAGGTAAAGTGAAAACCAGGTTCCAAGAAACAGAGTGGACTGTGTCTTGAGCAGGCGCATCCGAGGCTGGCCTACAGGCTCAGCGCACATGCGCAGACCTGCTGTGGGCAGCCACCCTGACATACACAGAAAGAATAAATGAATGGAGAAATGAAGAGGTGGGGGAGAAAGAGCAGCTTCAGCATAAGGCAGTTATACTGATGGCGACTTTCACTTTTCCTTTGGTCACCCTTAGAGCTGATGCAAGGAAATGGACCCTGTTCTACCAGACGAGAGTAATGGCTCATCTAAACTGACACATCAGGCACAGTGCTTTTCCTTGGCCTCTCGTCTTTAGAAACAGAATCTATCATAACAAAACAACAGAGCACCTACTCACAGCTTCACCCATCTGCCCCCCGAGCTCTCAGCATAGGGCACAAGGGGTTTACAGAGGCACCGAAGTCCCCTGTGCCCAACCCTGATGACAAAGGGAAGGTGGTACAGATCTGAGGTCCTGCCTGCATCTTCAGTTCAGGCCAGCCTGCTCTGCTGAGGCTTGCAGAGCTCATCTCTGCCCTAGCAGTGACTGACTTCAGCTCCGAGTTCCGGAAGAACGTACACCAAGCTGCCCACAGGGTAGCTGCAGGGCTGGGGTAAGACAGAGCTGATACAAGGCCCGCCCTCTTCTCGCTCTCTCCACAGAGAGTGTTCAGGGTCTCCTTCAAAGATTAAAAATGAACCAATAAATAGTCAAAACAAGAAAGGAAACAAATGTTTTCTACAACATTACAATACTGTGTGTATGCGTGTGCGCGTGCACATACACACACACACACACACACACACACACACGCACGCGCGCGCGCGCGCGCGCACACACACACACACACAGCTGGATGCAGCTGATCCCCACTGCCAGGTCTCTTCTAGGTTTCTGCACCTTTAGATCAAGAGCCCCTGTCCCTGGCAACCTCCCTTCCTGGCTTGCCAGCCCCTGGGATGCAGAGTGAGCACGGGCCTCCAAGCTCACCTCTCCCGGTGCCCTCCTCACCTTAGAGGGCTCCTCTAACAGCGGGCCTTCCCCTTCTGCTCCAAACACCCCGCACTTGAAGTTGGAACCATGCCCAGGGTGACAGCAGGAAGCTGTGCACGCGAGGTCACACTCTTACCCATGCATTCAGGGCCTGTCCTGGCTCTGTGCTCTGCCCTAGGGGCAGCAAGGACCTCTGGCGCCCAGCAGCTGGAGCCGCTGGCCAGGGAGGCACCCGCTGCTGGCACACTCACCTGCAGATGTAGTTGGTCTTGCAGGAGTCCTGCAGGTTCAGGCAGTTGGGCTTCTCCCTCTCCTCGTAGGAGCACACGGGCACAATGGTCTGCCGCCGGCGCTCGGTGCAGGCAACGTCCCGGCAGGAGCAGAAGAGCATGCCGTAACTGTGCTTGGCGGGGACCTTGTCGAAGAACTGCCTGAGGGCCTTGTGGCACTTCCGGCGGTTGCACACCTCATTGGACATGCTGGTGGTGCACGGCGTGATGTAGGCAGACCTGTACTTCTTGCACGTGTCATCCAGGTTGCAGGCCTTGGCTGCGTCCAGACAGTTGTTCCCTTTGGAAATGTGTTCCACTGCAAAGCAGAGAAGAGGGCTGATCACGGTGCTGTTCCTGAGGGTCCCCACATTTGCCCGCACTGGGCTCTTGCCGTTCACCTGGACGTTACACGCTCTGGGACTCAAGACGTTTCAACGCTAGTAACATAAAAGTCCATCATAAAAAGAAAGGTGTGAAGCACCACAGCCTTCAGGAGGCCCTAGACGTCCTGTGGAGCTATGGATTCAGGCCACGGGAACCTGGGCACCTACCCAGCTACCAGGAAACAAGGCAACCGAGAAATGTTTTCAGCTCCTGCTTGGTAAACCAAAATCAGGATCAAAGAAAACAGCAACAAATTACAGACTTGTTCATGATACAGTATATAAAATGATATGGTGAACACAAGTATAATTGCCATGCAATCCTCCAGGAATATAATTATGTAATAAATGTGTTTAGAACATGCTAATTACTATATGATTACAGAGTAATTACATGGTTGTTTGCGCCCAGAAGACAAAATATTATGCCAGTCTCTCTAAGCAGGAAGAAGCAACTTCAGAGAATCCGTGTCTAAGTTTCAGCTCGGAGGCCATTGGAAGAAAACCAGAGTAAAGCACTAAAAATCTGCAAGCCCCAATCACCACCGAGTCACCACATCCAAAATGTCGGCTCTGTGGACCCTGAAGTCCCTGATTAAGAAAACTCAGCTAGGGTTTTGGATGGAGTTTCACTGGGCTTACACTCCGCAGGCTACATCTCCGAGCACATGCAGCCCTCTGCTCAGGCTCTCTGTGCCCACGCTGCCCGGAGCCCAGCGCTGCCCACTGGGGATGCTCCTGCATGGTCTGGGTGAGATTCCAGGAGGCAGATGCCGCTGGGCGGCTCCACCCGCTGCCCTAGCCAACTGCAGTGGGGATGTTTCGTGTAAAGGTGAGGATAAAGGGAATAAAGCTCACGTTGTAGTCTGTGGTTGCTGTGACAAACACCCTGACAGAAAGACAGCACAGGAGAAGGTTTGTTTGGCTTACTGTTCCAGACCAGTCTGTCATGGAGGAGAAGCCAAGATGGGTCTGAGACAGCTTCCCACAGAGCCGAAAGGGCGAAGACGACTCGCCAGCTTTCCTCACTCTTAGAGTCATCCCCTTCCTCCACCCAGTGAACTGTGCAACCCATGGTGGGATGGGGCTCCCCCAATCAATTCCTTCCATTAACTGTCTAGGCAAGCCCCCAGGAATGTGCCCACGAACCAGCTGAGACCCTCCTCAGGTATTCTGTGAGCTGGCACGACCCACGGGCAGGAGTTTCTCTGAAGAAAGCGAAGGGAAGGAACCTTCTAGAACCCCCTCACTGGCAAGGAGGCCCCAGCAGCAGCAGAGCTGGTGACGCTCCAGGGCCGGCCGGGGTGCAGCAACCTAGCACTCTCCACTCGGGCCCAAACCACAGACAGCAGTTTGTGGTTTTGCCTGTCTACAGTCCGCCGAGTTTCTAAACTGTGAGTGTTTGATGATAACTGAACGTTAATCAATAAACTCTATTCCATCATTTGGGGTAAGCCCCTAAGGCTAGCTGGTACCTTCATGTCTGCACTGATGTCTAGTGAAAGCTATTTTCTAAAGTCTACAGAAAACAAACATAGCTGTGACACAGAAGTGGTTTACATACAAGAAATGCAGCCAGTGACACAGGATGCAACGATGCGTGCAACCTCAAGTGGAGAAAAATGGCCGAGGTGTCGCTGCACGCACCCGGAACCACAGCCTGACAAAGCGCAGTGAACCTGCGTCCCTCCCAGTGCCAGGTTCACGCTGATGGTAGGAATTAACTTAGTCCCACCAAAACAATGCCGTTCCTTACATCAACATCATCTGTTTGCATTTCCATGATTTTAAAGTGTGACCTTTTACTGTTTAATTTCTGCTGCTTTTATAATTGTGTGAAGACAAACAAAGGCTCTTTTTGTTTACAAATCTAAGATAATATCATAAGAAAAACAAGAAGTCAACCTATGACACCATAATGTTTCTTTTTTTTCTAAAAGAAATCTGTGACACACGTGCTTGGCTGGTGTGTACCTTTTTGTTTCCGTAACGCTGTTGCCTTTTAAACATTTATAAAGTTACATAAGCTATTGAGTTTTTTATTCTTTACGTGTTTGTCTGTGCGTGTGGTACATGTTTATGTGTGTACAAAGCCTGTATGTGTGTGTGGAGGTGAGAGGTCAATGCAGCTGTCTTCCTCCATTAATCATTGTAGAGTTTTTGAGACAGGCACTCGCATAGAACTTGGAACATAAACATCCGGCTACACTGGCTGGCCAAGGAGCTTAGAACCCGTCTGTCCCTCTCTCCAGGCTGAGATCACACAATTGCATTTGGCTACCCCTGGCTTTCACATGTGTGCTGGCATCTGAATTTAGTTTCCCATTCTTCTGCAGCAAATCCCTGTAGACTGGTCCAGCGCCTCAGCCCAGTTCTTCCCTGCTTCTCAATGTCTTACATATATGAAGCAATATTCTAAGGAAAAGCTTTGGAGGAAGTGGGAGCAATAAACCACTGTTCAGAGCTAACTAGTTTAGCAGTAGGTATGACTTTGCCTCACTTCCTGCTGATTCCGTTTTCTTCCACACATAAGCCTTGACAGGGCTTCGTCTCCTTACCGTTCTTTTAAAGCCTGTGACAAGTTCCAAAGTTATAACCTGGCACACTTGGAGGGGCAAACCAATTTCTTTCCACCTCACAGGTCATGTGTGAGTTCTTCACATGTCTTACCCTGACGAACACAGAACACTTCCTCCACCACACTTCTCATCTCCATGAGACCAGCAAAATCTAAACACAAGGACCTGACAGCAGACTCCAACTCCTTACAAACACAGATGGAAAAATCTCCCCCAAATCTGAGCTGGTTGTTTAGCAATGTTAGGAAGATAACACACCATTTCCCCCAGGATCCAAGATGACTTTGATGTTTAAAAACCAATGTGATTCCATAGTAACAGAATTCAAGAAGAAGAAAAAAATACAATATTTTAGTAGACAAAAAAAAAATGCATTCAGTGAATTTCAACACTCAAAAAAAATGTTCAGCAAACTAAGAAATAATTTCCTCACTTTAGAAAGGGTAGCTATGACACACAGACAAAATCATATCTCATAGTAAAATAATGCCTCCACCTAAGATCATGGACAAAGGACACACATCCTTCCCTTTCAGAGCCAGGATTGGAGTGGAGGTCTTAGCTTTTTCAAGGAGGCAACAGACACATATAAAAAGTACTAGAGAGGAACATACACACACACACACACACACACACACACACACACACACACACACACACGTCTGTTCACAAATGACTTGGAAAATAACAAAGAATATACGAAACTACTAGAATAAGTAATTTTATATGTTAAAAATATAAAAGTAACATAGAAGTCAACGGCACCTTCTTGAGTTCACAAATCTGTGTTATTGATGACCTGAATCTAGTGAGTGTCCCCATATGCACGTGACGTGTGGCTACCTACCGGGGCTATGGCCAGCCCCCAGGGGCCACACACCTAGAGGACAGTGATTCTGCCTCCCTCCCTCCCCAGCAGTGCTGGGATGTTGAGCGGCTTGGTCACGTCACAGCTGCCGCGCTGCTGCATGCTTGTCACACCCGCCGTCAGACCTCAGCACCACGAGCTTAATTTATAGCTGACAAACTATTACAGTGTGCAACGTAATGCCCTGATGTGCGCTCAACCCTGTGGAATCATTAAACAAACCTGAGGAGCACACCCATTCCTTTTATGTAGCTGCAAATCATGAGGCCAATTTAAACTGCAATCCCACTTACTATAGTACCAAATAACAAAATAAAGAAAGAAAGACACTGCGACACCTAGATACTGAGATGTAAAAGGTGTTCCTGATAAAAATTACAAAGACTTATAAATGGAAATCCATACCATGTTCATGGATCAGAAGAACCAACATAATTAACATTTTGGTTAATTCTACACCTCATAGAATGGGCATTCACCTTCTAAAACTCACATGTACACGTAAGCAATGCAGAACAACAGAAGCAGCTTGAATAAGGATGATGCTGTGATGCTCATGTAGCTTCAAGATTTACCATAAGGTCATCAAGTGAGTGTGGCGGAGGCCTGAGCAGACTGCACAGAGAGCAGAAGACAGAGCTCAGGAAGGTGCCCACAATAGGCACCCACAGTTATTTGAGTTTTGAAAACAAATCACACTAAAGAAACCTAATGGGGAAAATGTCTTTACAACAAATGGTGCCAGAATATTGAAAAGACAAAATAATCCCAAACTCTCAACCCCCACTTCACACCACACATGAAATTGGTACATGACAGACCACAGAATGAAATGTAAAACCTAAAATCATGGCTTTATTGGAAGATAAAATAATCTGGTCACTCAATAAATGCAGGACTATATAATACAATAACATCAAAGAAAAATTTCTCTGTGTTAAAGTTCACAGAAATTAAAAATTAAAAATTCCTGCTGGTATAAGAACACTGATAAGGAAAAGGACATAGAACCCTTAAGGGAAAATAGTCACAAATATGTATCAGGTGAACTACCACCATCTATAATACATGAAGAATACCTACAATTTAACCGTAAAGTGAATGGACCCTCCTTAAAACACTAACTATTTTAACATATATGTCACAAAAGAAATGTGTGAGTGGCCAGTGAGTCCATGTTATGTATTCAACATCATTAGTTTTGCAAAAAAAAAAAAAAAAAAAAAGGCAAAATAAAACTATAATGATTTACTCAGCATCACAACGGCTAAAACGAAAGACCAGCGACTTCAAATGCAGAACAAAGGAGCAGATTCTAGCTGTCTCCTGTGCTGACAGGGATGGAAAGTCCAACCTGAGGAAAAATACCTGTGTTTATAAAACCACTCATGATCTACTCAGTGCTCGTCACACTATCAAGCATAGGTAAGTATCTACGGGAGGAGCTAGGACCACAAAGGCCTATGTTGCTGACAGCACGCAGGAC